GGTCCCCTCACACCCTGATCCGATCCTTCACACCATCATGCACTCACACGTGTGTGCACGCTACACATGCCCACCCACTCATGTACACAGGAGCCTGTGCTTGCCCACAGCAGCCTCGCTAGTGGGGTGGAGGGTGATTAATGGCCCCGTCCACTGGCCTAGCCCAGGCGCCCAGATAACATGCCCTGCATTGTCTCGGATCATGTCGGTTAATGACAGGCTCGTAATCGGCATGGAGCCGCCGCTCGGGAGATTAATAACAGTGCAGGGCCCCAAATAATGCAAATCACAGCTCATGTATTTGCATAACATGAGCTCATTGGTTCCAATCTCCCTCATTTGCATATCAATACTCCATTGGTTCCAATAGCCCCTTTCATTAGCATAACACCAGCCCACTGGTTCTAATACCCCTTTCATGAGCAAAACACCAGCCCATTGGTTCCAATGCCCCCCTTCATTAGCATAACACAAGGCCAGTGGCCCTCAGGAATTTGGATGCTGGGGGGAATAAGGGCAGGGGGACTGGGAGTCATGGACTAATGGGGTGGGAGCTGCAGCTGTATGCCCCAGCCTTCAAATGGGGAGAGCCAGGAAAGGGAAATTCATTGTGTGGGAGGGGTGGGGGGTTGTGGGGCATGGATGGGAGGTGCAAGGAGCTAGAGGAGGCATGGCAAGGTGTGTGTGCACACACATGTGAGCATGTGCACATCTTTCATGCCAATGATGTGCAGGCCAAAGGATGCATAGGACTGCTTTCTCTGCACATGCAAGGAAAAGGTGGGGCCTATCGTACAGACTCTGCACACAGGTGGTGTGGGTTCAAAAGACAGGCAATATACACGGACTCACACAGACATGAACATACAAGCACACACACAGAGACATGCACCCCCCATGGGCAGCACCCGCTCCAAACACAATACATGCAGAGGAGACAGGCATCTCATTTCCCATGCAGACATATGCAGGCTCCACAGGTGGCATGTTCTTTGTGTGTGTCCATATATGGCTAAGCAGAGCACAACTGTATGCATGTTCTCATCCCACACATGGGGAACACAGGAAAGGGGGGTGCTCCAATACATTCACCCACAGCCATACTCTGCACACACAGAAACCACCGGAGGTGCATGTTCCACATGGCATGCTCACACATATACACACACAGAATACTCAGGAAGCACATCATGCATCCAACATGCTTACACACAGACATGTGCCACACGAGCCAAACACATGGGAAAGGCACGTTCCATGCAAAACATTCACCCACAAGCAGGGGGGAATGCACAGAAAACATGCAGGAGGGCTATATTCCACATGGCACATTTGCACACCTATTCTATACCCACACAATGCATGGGAGGCGAGTGTCTGTGTGCACTGACATGTGTGCAGCCCCCCATGCCCAATGGCACAGGTTCTACACCCCCGTGCACATGATACCTAGGCTGCTGTGCCCATACTCTTGTCTGTGCAAACCAAGTGCCTCCCCTATAACGTAACTCACCCCGCCATTATGCCCCCTGCCGCTTCACCCAGTGGGAGCGGGAGGCTGCAGCACCCAAGTCCCCACCCCTCTCTTCAGCAATTCCCCGTTCTGAGCAGACACGGCATCAAGTCACCATGCTGCTAAATCTTATCTCCCCGGCACAGATGCCTGTCCGTCCCCAGCACTGCAGCACACAGTACCGGGGGTGCCAGGACACACACACACACACACACAGACTGTACCCCCGCACACACAGTCAGTGCACTCACACAATTTGTAACCCCCCCAAAAGACACACACACACACACACACACACACACACACACAGACAGCTGCGCCCCTACACAACCCCAGGGAGACAGCCAGTCACACACACACACACACACACTCACACACAGCCAGTCACCTTCTCCCCATTAGGCCACCGAGGGACAAAATGGTGGCAGGATACAAGGGCAGACTGACACACAAACACCCACACACACAAACTCCACACAGGCGCTGTGCGACGACACAGCAGCAGAATAGAAGCGGGGGACAGGGAGATACAAGCAGGGACACACACACACCATCCCCCCAAAGAGTTAGTCCCATTCCCCTCCCACACACACACTGCATCCAGGCTCCACTAGAGATACACACGTCCCCCTGCTCATGACACGGGCACAATCACACTCCAGGGAAGCAGCCCCCAGAGTGCCCAGCCCCCACCCTGAAACACAACCTGCTCCACCAACCAGCAACACCCACTCCCCTCCCAGAGCTGGACTAGAACCCAGGAGTTCTGGCTCCCAGCTCTAAGCCCGCTCTTGCAATGGAGTGGGGGGGCATGGTCTCCGTGTGGGGTGGATTGTGATGGGGGTAGGCAGCATGATCTCCGTGGGTGGATGTGGGGCGCGCTGGAGCAGGGTCTCTGCAACGGGGGCAATAGAGAGCATGTTAGAGGGGAGCATGGTCCCTGAGCTGGTTAGTCTCAAGATGGCTGCTCAGGGACAAGCCTCACACAGCGAGTGGGGGGGAGGGGGCAGAGAAAATACAGGCAAGAGGCTTCCCCTCACAGGTCCCCTGAGCCCCCCTAAGCTCCCAGACACACACCCACGGCTCCCCTCAGGCCCTGGGAACCCCGCAACTGCCAACCCCTCTCCCTTGCCCATTATTTACTGCGGCACTCAGCCAGCCAGCTGCCAGGGGGATTGTGGGAAAGGAGCAGGGAGCCACTGTCTGGATTCCCCCCATGCTTGGGGACTTCTGGGTCTGCTTGCAAAACGGATGCTATCTACACCCCAACTCATCCAGCCCCAAACTCTTCTCCCTGGAGCACACCAGCCCGCTGGGGGGCAGCCTCCCAAGCCCAGCCCCCTATGGGCCCAGAGCCCTCCCATTCCCATACACAAATCTCCCCTGCCCTCCATACACACCCCAGCCCGGCACAGTACCCATTCCGCATGCCGCACTGACCCTGTGTTCTGGGAAGACCCTACAGTAACAGACCTGGGAGGGTAGCTGCAGTGCTTCAGGAGACCCTACAGTAACACACCAGCCCACACAGCCCCAGCACACCCAGGAGACCCTACAATAACACACCTGCCAATGCAATACGAGATGGGATTTGGAGAGGGAAATGGCTGCTGCCCTGAGCTCCCAGCTGAGGTTCAGCATGAATGGAAAAACTGAATTTACCCAGCAGGCAGAGCCAGGGACAGAACGGGGACTGTCTGGTTCAGGGGGGCAGGGAATGGGATATGGGGCCTTTCCCCTCTGACGGGGGGCACCTGCTACGACCCAGTCCCAGTGTGTGTGTAGGAACTGACTGGGAAGTCTGGGGGAAAAGAGGAGTGAGGGGCAGAGTGTGTGTGTGGGGATGGAGAGCAGTGTGTGGGAATGATATTTATCCCACACACTGTGCCCCATACACTGTGCCGGGGATATTTATACAGGCATCCCTCACCCAGTGCTGAGATGCAGATGCCTGTGGGATCCCTTGCCCAGCACTGAGATGCAGCCCCTGCACAGGAGTTGTTCATACAGGGATCCTGTGGGGGAGGGGGCAGGGTTTGGAGTTGCACTCCCTAGATACTCTGGGATGCCTTGTTGGCCCTGGTAACTGGGCGAGGGGATGGGGAGATGGGTTGGGGGGCCGGGTTCCCCCATGGGGATCAGGTGCCTCTCTCATCTGGGACCACAACTGAGAAATCAAATATACAACACACACACCCCTAACAGACACAACTTGTATTTACAAGCAACACAACACACATCAACATCCAACAGAGCACACATACACACTGTACTTACACACACACGTGCCCCATACACACACACCCCTTCACGCACTCTGAGCACGCATGCCCACACCACTCATGCACACCACTCACACACACGCACACCCCACTCACGCACTCTGCACACATGCACACACCACTTGCACTTTGAGCTCGCACATACCACTCACGCACTCA